AAGCCACCAGCCACGTGGCAAGGTATAGATTTATAAAAATGGGTTAATTTAAGATATAAGAACAGTTAGCAAGAAGCCTGCCATGGCCATACAGTTTATAAGTAATATAAACATCTGAGTGATTATTTTATAAGTGGATTGTGGGACTGCGGGGCTTGGGGAACCTGGAGAGAAGCCCTCCAGCAACATCTGTGTTTCAATCAGCATAGCTTTCAGGCCAGCTAATGCCCGTGACCACTGCAGATGAATGTGTTTATGGGTGTATCCCATAGGCAGAATGGGAAACATTCTGTAATGATGATATATACTTATGAAAAATGCTCTTTATAATTGCAGCGAAAAACTGCTTCAGCAAAATGGCATTGTGTTAAAACTCCCCAAAAACATATCCTGTTTTCTAACTGAGTCTGCTACACATAGAAAGGATCTAGGTCTTTCAGATAACAGATAAGGAACATGTCCTGGAAGCCAAAGTTGACTGAGTTAAAAAGCACAGGATGTTGGGAGTTCATCTCTCTGGCATCTTTCCCTTCCACGTGAGGCAGGTTGACTTTTTCCTTTGGTGTGGGGTTTTTGCACAGCTGCCTGCCTCCCCTCTCCTAGGTCTCTCCACAATTTTTTGTTGTCAACCACTTGCTAAGATAGCTTGCTATCTTGCTATGTAAACTAGTTTGCATTCATGAACTCTTTGTACTTGGGTTTTAAACTATGAGCAATTTTGATGGAGATGAACCTTCTCAGAAATATGAGAAAAATTAATTTAATGATACATGTTTCATTGATTATTCAGAGTAAGGATCTGTCGCAGGCAGCTGCCTTCTTAGGTGATAGGCCACTACTACTGAGGCAGCATGTTGCCTTCTTCAGAGCAAGGGACAATCAGATGACAAAAGTTCCCTTTGTCCTTGCTAAGAACCAACTTCAATTTCCTTTTGCTTTTGTAGTGGGACTAATTAATATCATATACATCTGTATTTGAAAACAGGCAATGGTAAATGTTGGGGTTCCTTTAAGTTGTCCTTGTTCTTCCACTTCAGAATACTTAACTGAGTTGGGTGTGGTCATTCATTCTTGCAATCACAGCACTCCACAGTTTGAGGCAGGAGCACTGCTGTGAATTCGAGGGTAGCCTGGGATATGTAGGGAATTTTAGGCCAGCCTGGGCTACAGTGTGGGACCCGGTGACAACAAACAAACCAACAACCTGGCAGCAACAACTGAAAGAAAGAAAATCTACCTGTTGTAGAGATTAAAAATATGCCTTGTTTGGGGCCAAGGCATGGACTTCTGAGAATATTATACAAAAATAACTATTTTGACTGAATTGTTTCTAGTGCGTTAGAGGTCCTCAACAATTTGAAGGGACATAATGGTTAAAGCTTTCATGAGCTGAATAATCATGTGACAAGTATCTTCCGACCAGATTTTCATTTATCACCTGCACTAGTTATCTTTTACTACATCACCTTCAGGGCATTAGCTACTGAAAAATCCACATCGAATTTAATCTAGAAAATTCTATTTTAAATACTCAGAGTAGGTAATGCAGGTTTTTGCGTATAAAAAAATGGAACTGATTTTTGCTCTGGAAAAGAAAGCAGGTAACAGTGGAATCTTTCTTATACATTTATTCACCAAAAAAAAAAAAAGCGGGCCATGGGACTGGAGAGATGGTGCAGTAGAAAAGCACTTGCAACACAAGTGTAAATATCCGAGTTCAAATCCCTGCAACCCACATAAATCTGGGGTTGGGGCATATCTAGATCCCAGTGCTTCTACAGTGAGATGAGAGGCATACCTAGAAGCCTGCAAGCCAGCTAAATTAATGTCCAGAATCCTGTTTTACATAAGGTGGAAGGCAGAGACTGATACCCAAAGTTGTCCTCTGACCTCTGTACACATACATATGAACAAGCACACACACACACACACACACACACACACACACACACACACA